TTCAGCTAGCCTTTTGTTGAATTAAGATTTCAGCTAGCCTTTTGTTGCATTAAGATTGTAGCTAGCCTTTTGTTGCATTAAGATTTTAATCTACTGGGACAAATGAACAAATTGATTAAAACAAATAAACCTGGGTGGAATTAAAAGGTGTGGCAGGAGGGTGACATGGCTGCATGAGGTGTGTCCGCATGCGCTGAAATAAACGTTTAGCTCAGAGTGACACTGCTTTATTTCAGCGCAGGTTCAGCAGATAGTTTGCTAAGCGTGGTGGATGTTTTATGTCGTCTGAAGGATATAGGCCTTCTTCTTCTTCTGCAGCTCGTCCTGCCAGAGGTCGAACCTCCTCAGCTCGTGCTCGATGATGCTCATGCTCAGAGCTCCGATCTTAAAGTGAGTGACGAGACCGTGAAACTGGGAGAAGCTGCGGGAGAGGAAGGAGGTTTAAACGGCCCGATCCGTCAGCCTGACGTGGTTTACACAGCAAACCGTCCAAACAGGCCCGAGTTCTGATCTGGAACCGTTTCACAACCGAACAGAAAAACACGTAGACGAGTCAAGAACAACGAACGAACACGTCGCGTGGAGGACGAATCGGCTACGACACGTTCAGGTTTTACTCCGAGGAGAATCAGTTTGGTGTCTGAGATTCACCACGAGTTCTGTGAGCGAGCAGAACCAGCAGAGGACTGAGCCACGCTGAAGATAAAAACTTTGAGTCCTGCAAAAATACAGTGTGAATGCTTGTTGCAGAAGAACTTGCTGAAAAACAGCTGAAATTAGCTAAAAAAATAAAAATAAAAATGCTGAAATGTAGCTGAAATGAAAGAACAAATCTAAATTAGCAGAAGAAAACAGAAAGAACACATATTTGCTGCATTTGGTTTAAATAAGCAGAAATGAGCACCAAAATTAGGAAATCAGCTAAAATAGACGAAATTAGCAACAAAAAAAGCAGCTGAAAAGTAGGTTCAAAAGCACAAAGGAGCTGAAATTACAAGAAAGAAGTGCAGAGAGCTGAATTAGACTGGATAAAGTTGAAATGAGTGCAACAAATGGAATTAGCTAAAACCAAAAATCTAAAATTAGCATAGAAACAACTAAATAGTAGCTGAAATAACAGAAACTAGCAGAATTAGGCTGAAAGGAGCATAACAAGCTGAAATTAGCAGAAAAAAGTTAATTAGGCTGAAAGTAGCAGAAATTACCAGGGAAAACTTGAACTGAAAACAGCTGAAATTAGCTAAAAAGTAGCTAAAAAGGTAAAACAAGCTTAAATTAGCAGAAGAAAGCAGAAAGAACACGTTTACAGGATTAAGCTGAAAGAAGCAAAAATTAACACAAAAAAAGTGGAAACTATCTGAAAAAAGCTTAAATTAGCATAAAAACAGCTGTAATAATAGAAAAAGCTGAAACTTGCAGAAATAACTGAATGGAGCAGAACAAGCTGAAATTAGCAGAAAGAAGTTAGAAGAAGCACAAAAATGTTGTAGTTAGCAGAAAGAAGCAGAAAGGAGCACAATACAACTGAAAGTAGCTGAAAAAAGTTTCAGTTTGCAGAAGGAAGGTGAAAGAAGCTGAAGCAGAACAAAATGTGAAAGGAGCAGTAAAAGGTTGTAAACGGAGCTAAACATTTGAAGGATGTAAAATGAGCTCAATTCATTTTCTATGAGTAAAAAATGTCAGAAAAGGCTAAATATTTCAAACAGCTAAAGTTGCACCAACACCAAAAGTCACAGCAGGATTGTCCTGAAAGAGCCGAACGTGTTGATTTATTGAAATACATGAAAACTGCGTGACGAGAATCGAGCTGAATAACGTACGGAAGAAAACTGGATCAGAACAGTGACGCTTCGTGAAGGTTCAGACAGTTCTGCAGCAGTTTGTTCTCGTGTTTATGGTCCTTGGTTTCCTCCTCAGACCTTCAGATGAATATTTTCCTGGATGTTGAACGTTATTTAAAACCTTCCATCAATCACCTGGAAACAAAGGACTGCAGGGAGTTCTGCTAACCGAGCCCTCCTGTCCAACTCTGCGGCGCTGAACGTTTGGAGCCCGACGACGAGGCGTTTGTTTACCTGGAGAAGCAGAAGAAGACGTAGATGATGGTGGTGGCCAGGTCCACGCTCTGCCGCCAGTCCTCCCGCAGGACTCGGGCCAAAGCTCCGAGCGCCGCCTCTGAACACAGAAACACGAGTGAGAGGAAGCGGAGCCGAAAGGTCAGGAAGGAGAAGAACAGATGGAAGGAGCGTTAGGGGAACGCAATCAGCCTGGAGGCTCCTGCAGCCGCCACCATGGAGACATCTGATCCAGGATTTGTCTCCTGGTTCCACTCTGACCTGCGGCCTCTGGGTCCACACCAATACTCGGCTCTTATCAGCGCCGGACCGGCTGATCAGGAGCGACAGACGCTCCTTCGTGACAGAAACAGGCGAAGCTGCAGAGGACGGATGTGGGAGAAACAGGCCGGTTGTCATAGAAACCGAGAGGAACCGGAGCCGGACGGGTTCTTTCTGGTCCCCAGAGGAGCAGAGTCCAGGAGCCCATAAGACTCACCAGAACCGTTCTGCACAGAGATCCAGTTCTGATCTGAAAACTGCGTCAGGCTGAGGTGTTTACACATAAAACCGGTCGGGTTCCACTGGACCAGCTGATCAGCCAAAATTTAGCTTCAGTTTTTGATGAATAAATAAGAACGTGTGGAAAATATGATTTATTTTTATCATGAAGTTTTATTTTCTTTACACAAGACCTGCCAGTTAAATTCTGTTACATTTAGCTTTCAGCTAGCCTTTTGACACTTTTAGCTTTTAGCTAGCCT